GTATGTTTTGATAACATGTTCGTACTCAATCAAACATGATATCTATCCAACTATTATTGCTATTATTGGTCTTCAAAAGTAATGCTACTACTACCAGCTATCATTATATATATATACAACTTTCTGCATATATATATATAAACTTCTGGATAGTTGTTTATAAATATATATATATATATATGTATATACACATATATATATATATATATCAATATGAGACACATCTTCCTCAAGTATCATCATCAAGTTGTATCGCCCTTGAGACCCCGCGGCGCCACGGCGGCGCCGAGGCAGGCTGTGTCTCCAAGACCTTCGTGGCACCTTTGAGTCGAGTGACTTTGCTGATGCAGGCCGCTGTTCCCCGGTCGGTCGACGAAGATTTTGGGAGTTCAGCATCAAGAAACATGGTGATTTTTCATTGACTTGGCTGGGATTATATATATATAATTATATATATATATATACATAACTAACTTCAACCGTTAATATAATCCCTTCCTAATTTCAAGCCTCTAGGTTTACCATGGTGGATGTAGGGGATGAATCACACATGACTGGGACCATTGAATGGGGATGTTTAGTATGAAGGGGGGATGGGATTAATAGGGAAACTATCACTGGAGTTGAGTAGTGAATTAAGAAAGGATAAAGAAGGGAGATACCTCCAGTTATGGATGTTTGATGATGATTTTTTGGGTTGATAGGTTGGTACCAGTTTCCTGTCAGATTATTCACCAATAATTAATCCAGTCCTGTGATATAGGGAGATACCAGATTACTAATGGGGCTAGTAGGGAGAGGGTACCAATTTGGATAGTTTCTTTATCACTATTTTCTGGGTAGCAACCCTAAATAATCAACATAGTTATAATATCCGGCATTGACATTACAACGGATCATTGGATGTTTATATCACCATTTGCATTAAGATTAACCGCTTCTAAACCACCTATTTATGCGTGGAATTTCTCACCATTCTCCACCCTGCCCAACTTGCTTGAAACAGGGGCTGCTTTAATCCAGGGTTGACATTAACCTGGCTGGTGGTTTGAACCACCACAAAATGGGATGTTTTGTCCACCTTTTTTCCGGGGGCGGGGGTGTTCAAACATAAACCATCACAAACCAGTTATACATCTGGCAAAGTGATTATGTTTTCCACTATAATATTACTCACAGACCCCGAGGTTTGCCCAAGCCCAGAATAGCGTAAATACCAGGGAATTCTGAACGACGTCAAACAACAGGAAGGATTTCATGTTTAATTTTGTTGCTAGGGTGTTACTGTAACCAGAACATGTTGCTTCTACATATCATAAAGCCAGAACATGTCGCTGCTACATATCAAATGGAATTCACCATACAGTGATTAGGGTTTCTTGTAGGTTTCAAGAAAATATCAAAATCCACCGGCCCCATGGAACAATTAACCATACAGTCATTAGGGTTTCTTAAAGGTTTCAAGAAGATATCAAAATCCCCCGGCCCCATGGAACAATTAACCATACAGTCATTAGGGTTTCTTAAAGGGTTTCAAGAAGATATCAAAATCCTCCGGGCCCATGGAACAATTAACCATACAGTCATTAGGGTTTCTTAAAGAGTTTCAAGAAGATATCAAAATCCCCCGGCCCCATGGAACTAATTAACCATACAGTCATTAGGGTTTCTTCAAGGGTTCAAGAAGATATCAAACTCATCATAATCATCGTTATCATCATCATCATCATCATCATCATCATCATCGTCATCGTCATCATCATCATCATCATCATCATCATCATCATCCTCCTCGTCGTCGTCGTCGTCGTCATCGTCATCATCATCGTCATCATCGTCATTATTGTCATCAGTGTTATCATCATCATGATCATGATCATGATCATGAGCATGATGATCATCATTGTCATCGATGTCATCATTGTCATCGTCATCGTCATCGTCATCTTGCCCGGACGCTCGTTGCGAGTCCGGGGAAACCTCAGGGTCTTGCCCTTATATTAACATAATATATGTTGCATACATATTACTTATATATATATTATATACATGTATAATACATATATATATATATACACATGTATAATATATATATATACATGTATTATATATATACATGTATAATATTTATTTATATATGTATGTATTGTATCTTTATATACATGTATTATATATATATATATATTCATTTATTTATTTATTTATGTCTAATATATATATATATATGTATAATATATATATATATCTAATATATATATATATATATCTAATATATATATATATACACATTTACGTCTAATATATATATATATATAATGAATATGTAATATATGTATAATATATATATATATGACATTTCCAACACATGTCTGCATACCCATATACATATACTGTATATTGTTTCTCCACAAACTGGTTGGTTTCACAACCCCATGTTTTCTTGAACCACGCATTCCAGAAGAAAGGTTCTGCCTGGCACAGGTGCAATCCATGCGACCCCATAAATTTGCTGATGGAAGGAACCCCAACAATCAGTGTCTGGGACGGCAAGGCTTGAGATGCAAACTGGAGCTGGTTCACAACCACAAAAAAAATGTGGGGGTTCAAGCGGTTTCAATATGGTTACATGGTGAGGTCCCCTGCTTGGCTTGGTGTATAAGTAATTTGGTTAACTAGGGATTATGGCGATTATTGCCACAGTATCCACAGTTCATGGGGGTCATAACCCTTCGGTTAGGCGATCCCAGGGGCAAACCCAGTCATTTGATTTGGTTGGTTCCGGTCTCACGTTGCCTGGCGAGTTGGAACAGCTGTGCTATCCCCAACAATGATGACCAGGAACAGGGACAGATCCCAAAATTTAACAACATGTCAGGTTGGCACCCCATATTCTACACATTTCCCTTGGAATTTCACTCCAAAAAATTGGGTGAAATTCCCCCTGGTCGCTGGTCCAACTCGAATCCAGGTATTTGGTCGCCAGCCTGAGGCGCGGCCGCCTTGAACCCCGATCAACTGCTGGTGATGGCTGGACGACACGGACCCTCCACCACCCCAAAAACAGTCTGTTACCCAGTTACCCAGTTAGCCAAAAATCATTTTGTATGTGTTACTAAAGTGTTACTTTCGTTACTTGTTTTGTTTATGTTTGTTTCATATGGGCTGAGCTCACGACATGGCCACTCTTCAGTGTCGAGGTTTGCTTGCTGAAACGATTTCACTAAAGATTGACAGGGTGATCTCAAGCTGTGTTGTTTTTTTTTGGGTCTCACATCCCAGTATTTGTTGCAAAAATTCATGGGCCGTAGAGACAACTGAGGGCTGATGTTGAGCCAGGAAGATCTACTTGGAAGAAGGTCTTACTGGATTCTGGCGAGGGACCGGACGGCTTGTCATGCGTCGGCTTCATCTATCATGGTTTATCATATGTTTTGATGTTGTAAAATGGCAATCAACTGGAGTATGCAATGGGACAGTGTGGTAACCCAATTATTTTATGAAAGTTGCAAAGACAAACCCCAAATGGCAGGTTTAACCAGCCATAAACATGTGGTTTTGACATTTAAAATGGCAATGAGTTGTAGACCATTTCGAAAACGGATGGTGGTTTCCATTGCTACAATGGAAGTTTTCAGGTAAGGTAATCATCATGCTGATGCAAACATCAAACACGGATATAGTCTGGGTAAATTATAACGACCTCACTGCGACCTCACTGGAATCATGGTTTATAAGAGGAATCATCCCAAAATGGCCTTAATTCAGGTTAGTGAAATATTATAATTTACCCAGATATAGTAATTAACAGGCACTTTGGCCTATGAGATATGGGTGTGTCTGAAAGTGGGGGTTCTACGACCAAACTTGCCAACTTTTCATAGGCAACATGATTTTGGTATCCAGTGGAGTTTAATATGTTGGGGTGCTCTATTCACAGACAAACCCGACAGAACCTTGGATGAGGCCATGGTTTTCTCGATGGGGAACCCCCCTCCAGGAATCTGGCGACGTGCTTTCATCGCTTTCCGTATACCTCCGCGCTTTGGCAAGCGAAGATGGCATCTGAACTGTTGGGGGTTGATATGGTCAGGTTCATGCTGAAAAGGGGTGTTTGCGTTCGCTGAGAAGCAAACGTTTTTTGGGTTTAACCTGAAGTACCCAGAACACATTTACTGATTGAAAATGCATGACTATTTTAAATTTATCTTGCATGGATCAGTACTTTGAGTGTCTGCAGGTATAAGGCCAGCACCAACTATCATATCTATCCTGGTCATGCTCATGGGAAAACAAGGGGATGTATGTGACCATCCGTTGGGAATAGAACTCGGCCAACACAAAATGTCAGCTTGGATGGTTACCATTCACCTCTACTGATCTCTACTGCAGTTGCCTTAGGGGTAAAGCCAATGATCAATCTCCAATTTCAATGGCATGGGATGGTTTATGTCATCCATCTATAGCAATCATTGGGGATCCACCCTCAACAAAGCAGCCGCGGCAATGGCTGAAGGTGAATTGAGCTCCCTGCTGACGGCTAATGGTGTGTGGCTAATGGAAATGTTTATTTGTTAGTTGGTAGAATTGTGAATATATATATATATATAGTAGTATATTTTGATGGTTTTCTTGCCATATGGTTTGATAGACTCTGTTCGGAACCAAATCTGGCTGGCCAGATTTGATTCGGTGCTTCTTTTTATGGACTTTGCCTTATTCTAATTCCAGCTGAGGTTGTAAGTACACATAGGGGTACCTATGCAACATGTGTCACATAGTACCCCTTGTTGCTGGCTAGAGTTACTCCGTTGTGCAAGTGCTTGGCTCTGCCCCAGCTTTTCAGAGGTGGTTGCGCCATGTAATGTATTTAACAGTGAAAAAATCCTTTCCCAAAATTTACCCGAAAATAGCACATACTGTATGCCTGAAGATAGCGCAACCCTACATGTACCATCTATCAGACCTTTTCTGGGAGTACTGCCTGTGTAAAAGGGATGTTCTCACCTGTTTTTTCTGATGCTTGCCAAGAGGATAAGAGGGTTGCTTGGGTTGTAACCACTTTGCTTGCATTTCTTTCTTGACCAAAGAACATGGCTGGTGAGAGCGGCAGATGCGGCGTCAAATTGGGCCTTCCCCTCTGGCATGCCCAAAATTTCTTGCCAACTGGCAGCACAAAGGACCCCTGCCATGATAGACAGGCTCTCAGAGGCACCTTTGGTCGTGAGTGCTACATATTCCTTGGGCAAACCTTCGGTCAACTTGGCCATTTCGGAATGAAACTTCGCCATCATTTCAAGTTTCGGTCCCAACTCCTTCAAGTTGATGCGGAGCTCCGCAAAAGTCGGATCTTCTGTCTTCAGCCACTTCACCACTTCTTCCTTCGCTTTTCGCGTCCTTGGTCCAGTGACAACGTGAATTTTCTTACAATTATGAATGGGTTCTGGCTAGAAAAATTATCTGTTAAACATGACCCATCCGCACGCAAGCTGGCAGCCAACTCTTGTAAAAAAAACTAGCGCGCCACCAAGCAATGCTGGCAGCCAGCTCTAATGAAAAATTGGCACGCCACCAAGCAAGCTGGCAGCCAGCTTTCGCAAAAGAGCTGGCACGCCGCCGAGCAAGCTGGCAGCCAGCTCTTTTGAAAAGCTGGCACACAAGCAAGCAAGCTGGCAGCCAACTCTTTCAAAAGACTGGCTTGCCACTGAGCAAGCTGGCAGCCAGCTTTCGCAAAAAAGCTGGCACGCCACCGAGCAAGCTGGCAGCCAGCTCTTTCCAAAAACTGGCACGCCACCGAGCAAGCTGGCAGCCAGCTTTCGCAAAAAATTTGGCACGGCGGCAAGCAAGCTGGCAGCCAACTCTTTCAAAAGACTGGCACGCCACCGAGCAAGCTGGCAGCCAGCTTTCGCAAAAAAGCTGGCACGCCGGCAAGCAAGCTGGCAGCTAGCTCTTTTGAAAAACTTGCACGCCACCAAGCAAGCTGGCCAGCTTCAACAAAACGTCATGTCCAACACTTTCGAGCTGAGCAGCACATCGGCAAATTCTTCGTAAGCCTTCATGCACTGCTTGTGGAGGTTGTTGTGCATCTCCTAAGTTCTGCAAAAGTCAGCACACCACACCTTCAAGCAAATATTTTCAAAACAATGGCTGAAAAAAACACAGAAGCCTATCCTTCTCCAAACAGCCCATCTTCTGAAGAAGGATGGTTCCGAGCTGACCTCCTTGGCAATGCCCTGGACTCATCAGCTCATTGTTCACATCGCACCATGAGCAAACCCCCATGGTTGGGAGCTTCTGAGTTCCACTTCTGTCAATGTCCAAGGAAGCGAAAACTTTGAAAGTGCTCACCCCATCTTCGGAATCGCACCTGATGTTCATGGGCTCCTTCATCAGCGCTCGCACAGTCACCACAGGTGGCTTGCGGCCATGTTGTCATTGACCGCCCCATGAGCTTCAAACCACTGGCTGAGCGTTTTCATTGAACTTCCCATTGATTGTGTCTCCAACTTGTGAAGGACAGAAAGATTAAGACTGTGTGGAGGTGCCTCTCCTTGCGCCACCTTCAGAATCAAATCTATGCTGCTGTCTGGCTTTCATACCGAGACTCCAACTGGGCAGCCCACTCCTCCACCATCCTTTTCTCCTCTTGAAACGGCATGGGAAGTGTTGAGAGAAGCTGTGACAACCCACAGAATTGCGCCAGGTCAGGGCCATCCTTCCGATTGACTTTGCGGTAAATCTGGACAAACGCTGTTGCAGACTTGTATTGGCCTTGCAGCTTGCGCGTACTTTCCCTTGTCCAACCCCAGTCAGTCACCAAACACAGAGGTGCTGCCTCAGCATCTTCATGTTTGAGTGAATCCATGGCCGCCGTCAGCTCAGTGTCTAAGAAGTCCAAGAAAAAATCCTCTGCAGACGCAAGTTTGCCTGCAAGCTCTAGGTCATGCGGCTCACACATGCGCGCTTTCGCCACCAAGGCAGGCACCACGCTGAAGAGATCCTTTTTCTCCTTTTCACTGATGTGACTTAGCATGCTCAGAACCTCAGCACGTGTGGCTTCCTTCACTTCATCCACGCTCTCTTCAGCCAGCTGCTTCTGCAAGTCTTGCAGGTTTTTCACATGCTTCGCCACCAGCTTCCCCACGCTGCTTTTCGCCTTGCAAATCCACTCCACCGCTTTCTTCGCATCGTCGCTCAAAGCAGTGCCATTTTCCAAGCCCAAGACCGTGAGGAAACCTCGGTGAATCAGCAAAATCAAACTTGGATAAAGCCAAGTCTTTAAATTAAACGAAACCCGTCAGCTTGGTCAAGCTTTATCCGGCTGGGTTTGAGATCAGAGGCAAAGAGATCGAAATCTCGGCCAGATACAGCCAGATTTAATCAGATCAGATCAGCTCCAATGAGATCCAAGCAGATCTGGCTAGATCTCAGCCAGATTCAGCCAGTTCCGGCCAGATCCAACCAGATTTAATCAGATCAGATCCAACAAGATCCAGCCAGATCCGGCCAGAGCCGGCCAGATCCAGCCAGATCCAGCCACATCCATCTAGATCTAGCCAGATCCACCCACATTTAGTCCAATCAGCTCGAAAGAGATCCAACCAGATCCAGCCAGAGCTAACCCAACCAGATCTGGCCAGATCTCAGCCAGATCCAACCAAATCTGGCCAGATCTAAGCCGACACAGCCTTGTTGAATTAGATCACCCAGCCAGATCCAGCCAGATCTGGCCAGATACAGCCATATTGAATTAGATCAGATCCAGCCAGATCCAGCCAGATCCGGCCAGATCTGGCCAGATCCACCCAGATCTAGCCAGATCCAGCCAGATCCGGCCAATAGCAAGATCTAGCCGCAGATCCAACCAGATTTAATCAGTCGAACGAAATCCAAGCACATCCAGCCAGACCTGACCAGATCCAGCCAGACCTGACCAGATCCAGCCAGATCATAGATACCATTAAATCTAATCAATTCAGATCCAGCCAGATCTAGCCAGATCCAGCCAGATCTTTGCCAAAGCAATTCAGATCCGGCCAAATCCAGCCAGATCTAGCCAGATTCAACCTGATTCATCAGATCAGATCTAACGAGAGCCAACCAGATCCAGCCAGATCCGGCCAGAGCCGGCCAGATCCAGCCAGATCCAGCCACATCCATCTAGATCTAGCCAGATCCACCCACATTTAGTCCAATCAGCTCGAAAGAGATCCAACCAGATCCAGCCAGAGCTAACCCAACCAGATCTGGCCAGATCTCAGCCAGATCCAACCAAATCTGGCCAGATCTAAGCCAGACACAGCCTTGTTGAATTAGATCAGACCCAGCCAGATCCAGCCAGATCTGGCCAGATACAGCCATATTGAATTAGATCAGATCCAGCCAGATCCAGCCAGATCCGGCCAGATCCAGCCAGACCTGACCAGATCCAGCCAGATCTGGCCAGATTTCGGCCAGATACCATTAAATTTAATCAATTCAGATCCAGCCAGATCTAGCCAGATCCAGCCAGATCCAGCGAGATCTTTGCCAAAGCAATTCAGATCCGGCCAAATCCAGCCAGATCTAGCCAGATTCAACCTGATTCATCAGATCAGATCCAACGAGAGCCAACCAGATCCAGCCAGATCCGGCCAGAGCCGGCCAGATCCAGCCAGATCCAGCCACATCCATCTAGATCTAGCCAGATCCACCCACATTTAGTCCAATCAGCTCGAAAGAGATCCAACCAGATCCAGCCAGAGCTAACCCAACCAGATCTGGCCAGATCTGAGCCAGATCCAACCAAATCTGGCCAGATCTAAGCCAGACACAGCCTTATTGAATTAGATCAGACCCAGCCAGATCCAGCCAGATCTGGCCAGATACAGCCAGATCTGGCCAGATACAGCCATATTGAATTAGATCAGATCCACCCAGATCTAGCCAGATCCAGCCAGATCCGGCCACTAGCAAGATCTGGCCGCAGATCCAACCAGATTTAATCAGTCGAACGAAATCCAAGCACATCCAGCCAGATCCAGCAAGATCCAGCCAGACCTGACCAGATCCAGCCAGATCTGGCCAGATTTCGGCCAGATACCATTAAATTTAATCAATTCAGATCCAGCCAGATCTAGCCAGATCCAGCCAGATCTTTGCCAAAGCAATTCAGATCCGGCCAAATCCAGCCAGATTCTACCTGATTCATCAGATCAGATCCAACGAGAGCCAACCAGATCCAGCCAGATCCAGCCAGATCTAGCCAGATCCAGCCAGATCTGGCCAGATCCAACCAGATACAACCAGACCCAACCAAATTTAATCAGCCAGATCCAGCCAGATCCGGCCAGATCCAGCCAGATCACAGCCAGATCCAGATCCAGCCAGATCCAGCCAAATGTAATCAGATCAGGCCAGATCCAACCAGATCTAGCTAGATCCAAGCAAATTTAATTAGATCACTTCCAACGAGATCCAACCAGATCCAGCTAAATGATTAGATCTTCTTGGATCTGATGTGAATAGATCTGCCGAATTTGTTGGAATCTGGTTGGTTGGATGGCGCTGGATCTGATCTACTGAAATTTTGGCTGGATGCTAGATCTGGATGGGTCTGGCTGGACCTGGCTGGATGGATCTATAGCCAAGATCTGTCTAGATCGAATCACCGGCTGGACCTCGCGAGATCTGGCTGGATCTGATCTCATTACATCTTGCTGGATCTGGCTGGACCTGGCTCGATTTGATCTCATTAAATCTGATTGGATCTGGCTGGATCTGGCTGAGACTGGCGAGATCTGGCTGGATCTGTCTGATTGCAGCTGGATCAGCTGGCTGTATCTGGCGGAGATCTGGAGCTCGCTGGATTTGATTTGATTAAATCTGGCCGGATCTGGCTAGATCTGATCTGATAAAATCTTGCTGGGTCTGACTGGATCTGATTTGATTAAATCTGGCTGGATCTGGTTAAATCTGGTTTGAGATCCAAACAGATCAAAACAGATCGAGCCACCCACTTTCGCTGGCAGATCTAGTCAAGCAGCCAAACAGCGCAGGATGCAAGCCGAACAAAATTCCACACCGCCCCTGTCACACCACCGAGCCACTTTTTGCTGCCATGCTGGCTTCGGGGGAAATGGCTTTGTCAACAAAATCGGTGAGGATCTTTTTTTGTTCCTCGCCCATCTTCACAATCACAGTGAGGAACTTTTCCTCAATGGGCTGGATGCTTTTCGCGTCATCTTTCAAGAAAGCCTGACAAAACCCCAAAAGCAACACAGAAAACAAAGTCATGATGAACAAGTTAGTGGCGCCAAAGAGATGCTGGCGGCAGCCCTATCTAGAAAACAGCGCTCTGACAAGAAAACTGGAAGCAAGCAAGCAAACTAGCAGCCAGCTCCTTGAAAAAACTAGCACATCACGGAGCAAGCTGGCAGCCAGCTTTCTCAAAAGAGCTGGCACGCCACCGAGCAAGCTGGCAGCCAACTTTCGCAAAAAAGTTGCAAAAAACTGGCACGCCACCGAGCAAGCTGGCAGCCAGCTTTTGCAAAAAAGCTGGCATGCCGGCAAGCAAGCTGGCAGCCAGCTCTTTCAAAAAACTGGCACGCCACCGAGCAAGCTGGCAGCCAGCTCTTTCAAAAAACTGGCACGCCACTGAGCAGGCTGGCAGCAAGCTTTCGCATGGCAGCCAGCAAGCAAGCTGGCAACCAACTCTGTCAAAAAAAACGGCACGCAAAGGAACTTTATCAAAAAGCGGGCGCGCCATAAACTCATCAACGTGAGCTTCACAGGCATGGCCTGAATGGAAGGCAGCCACTTCACGCCCTGCTCCAAGTTCTCCGGCTTCTTGTAAGCCATGATCCGAGCAACAAGGACCTGCTTCCACCCGAGTGGGACAGGAAAATAGTCCTGTCAAGGTCAGATGATAGGCCACAGCAAAGCGGCGCAGAAAAACACAATAGAACGACCACAGCACATGAAGTGGCCAAAGCTTGGTGGTAGCCGGCCCGTCCTGCGCCTTGAGCAAATCTTCCGCTGCAGTAGCGCAGCAAGCAAGCTCAAGGCAGCCGGCCATCTTCTCCAAGTCAGGGTGCCCTCCATGTTTCTTCTTCAAGGAACTATACCTGGACCATGACTTGCCCTATACCCCCACATGTTTTCCCTGGCATGCATCATACGTGTATGATCGAACGTTGTGGAACCGCGTTCATAATATGAACATGCTTGCTTTGAGCGAAATGAATCCAGATCACCCCTGCCAGCCCCAACACCAATAAAGAAAATTGAGCAAGCCATGGTGCTGGCCCAAGACTCCAGCAATGTCTTTTTTGCTTGGTGGAATCTGCAACTCGTAGTGGACCCGAATCATCTTGAAAAGGTCTGTCAAGTGAGCAGGAAGATTTTCTGGCATGGGACAAACGTCAGGCTTCTTGGAGTCGGAAACAGGTCCGTTCGCCAGGGGCAAGGGTGCAGCTCTTGAACTGCAAGCCTGACTGGTTTCGGCAAGTTGACCTGGAATGCTCTCAGGGGCTTGGAGATCTAGCCCCAGCGCATCTGCCACCTGATCAACCCCAGCTCCTTCCACAGACCTTGACTGCACCACTTGCTTAGCTTCTTGCCAACTGACTCTGCAAATTGCCTTCAATGGCAACATAGGCTCTGTAGCTCTTCGGAAATGTCCTTCCCGCAGCACCCTTCAAACTTGTAAAGGCTGATAGCGACGTCTGGGCCAAAGAGAACCCGAGCACTGTCCACTTCCCAGAAGTCAAACTCCGGTCCCTTGGCTGTGAACCTTTGCGCTGTCACATGCTTTTGGTGATGAAAGTTGCAAGTAAGCTGGCACGCTACAAGATTAGCAGATGAACATGTTTTGGTACTTGGTTGGTTGATTGCAACACTGTTCGTAGTCCAACGAAAGATGGGGAAAGTGGCGGGAGCCAGCTTCCATGCGTGTAAGTTACCTGACCCAGCAACCAAGCGTACCCAAGTCCCAGGAGCCAGCGTTCGAGCCACACGGCCCTACTTGCAAGGCAGCTGGGTCGTTGGGCCGCCGAGCCACCAGTTCCAGGCCCCCACACAACATAGTCAGCTGCCGTCCCAGCCCAATAGGATACACGCCGCGACGATGCTGGCATGGACAGCAATGGTGTAGTAGCAGTAGCAGCCAATGGTTAGCAAGCATGCTTGATTCCAGATGGCCAGACGAGTGGCAAAGGGATATGTTTTGGTAATCTTAATCTTTTTCCGTGTGGTTGATTGCAGGTCAGCTGGCAGGCCACAAAATTAGTAGATGGACATGTTTTGGTAGTTGGCCGGTTAGGTGCAACACTGTTCGTAGTCCAACGAAGGAGGGGAAAGTGGCGGGAGCCAGCTTCCATGCGTGTAAGTTACCTGACCCAGCAACCAAGCGTACCCAATTCCCAGGAGCCAGCGTTCGAGCCACACGGCCCTACTTGCAAGGCAGCTGGGTCGTTGGGCCACCAAGCCACCAGTTCCAGGCCCCCACACAGCAGTGGTCAGCTGCCATCCCAGCTGGACAGGATGTGCGTCGACAAATGGCACGGACAATGCAGAAGTTTGAGAAGCAACAGTAGCACTAGCAGCTCATAGCTAGCAGGCAAGCTTGGTTCCAGATGTTTCATGATTGCACGGTGCTCCTGAATCAGGAAAGCATGCATGACAGCAGCAACAGCAGGAGCAAGGGAGTCTTGACAGCATATTTTACTTGTGCCCAATACTCATGCATATGACCTGGTAGGTCTCCACAAAAAAAAAAGAAAGCAGCGCCTCCCACCCAAAGCAGGTTGACACCTTTTCACTCACGCAATGCTGTTGGTTGAACATGGTACTCACGGGATTATCTATGGCATGCACCTTGTAAACTTCATGGTTCAAAATCTCTCTATGCTTGTTTTGAGGCGCTTTGTCCGATCTATTGAAAATGGGTTTTGGATTGGATCTATTTAGGGTTCATGTCAACTTGGTTTTCGATCTGTGACCAAAAAACATGTAGGTTGGGCGAAGGTTCCTCCTTCCTTCCTTGCTTGCTTCCTTCCTTCCATCCTTCCATCCTTCCTTTGTTCCTTCCTTCCTTCCTTCCTTCCGCCCTTCCTTCCTTTACTGAAACCCAGAAAAACAGAAAAAAAACAAAACAGAAGGGGACAAATAAAAAAAAACGCGCTCCAATCATTCATCAGAAACATCACACCGGGAAAATTAAACGTTGGGGAACGCACTTGCAGTAACTGCATGTGATTATATCTCAAAAGTGATACCTGCGGTTGAAACCCAAAAAATATTGAAAGGATCACGATAAGACAGGACAGGACAAGAAAGGAACGAACATGAAAGGAAATTAATGGATTTATCACCAAGCAAGCTGGCAGCCAGCTTTCTCAAAAAAGCTAGCACACAAGCAAGCTGGCAGCCAGCTCTTTCAAAAAACTGGCACGCCACTAAGCAAGCTGGCAGCCAGCTTTCGCAAAAGAGCTGGCACGCCGCCGAGCAAGCTGGCAGCCAGCTCTTTTGAAAAGCTGGCACACAAGCAAGCAAGCTGGCAGCCAACTCTTTCAAAAGACTGGCTTGCCACCGAGCAAGCTGGCAGCCAGCTTTCGCAAAAAAGCTGGCACGCCACCGAGCAAGCTGGCAGCCAGCTCTTTCCAAAAAAGCTGGCACGCCGGCAAGCAAGCTGGCAGCCAACTCTTTCAAAAAACTGGCACGCCACTGAGCAAGCTGGCAGCCAGATTTCTCAAAAAAGCTGGCATGCCGGCAAGCAAGCTGGCATGCAGCTCTTTCAAAAGACTGGCACGCCACACCGAGCTAGCTGGCGCAGAGCACATTTCCAAGTCAAAAGTGTTTAAAAGCCAAAGGGTTTGAAGCACTTTTTGACGTTAAGATGTCCTTTCCAGAAAGATAGATGGATACATAGATAGGCAGGCAGATAGATTAGACTAGATTATGTCAGATTAGATTGCATTAGATTGGATTGGATTAGATTAGATTAGATCAGATTTGATTTAGATTGGATCAGATAAGATTAGATCAGATTAGATTACGGAAGATTAGAATACGATTAGATGAAATTAGATTAGGTTAGCCAGATAGATAGGAAGATAGCTAGATAGATAGATAGATAGATAGATAGATAGCTCGATAAAATAAAAGATAGCTAGATAAATAGATAAATGGATTGTTAGATGGGTAGCTAGCTACATAGATAGATAGATAGACAGATAGACAGATAGATACTTAGATTGTGAAATGTCTGTTGTGGTTTTCATGGCTGCAGCACATCTTGACCTGGAAAAATCAACAATTTGATACACCCAGATCTGGCTACAAGGCCGTACAGAAACCATATGGTAGAAAACCTGCAAAGTATATTGTATTTGTTTGACCTCTTTCAATGCATGAAAATAAGTTTTATACTCAACATATAATCGAAAATTGCAGTTTGAGCAAGGGATCAACGCTTATCAACGCACGACCAAGAAGTTGGCGATGTAAAAGCCCATTGGTGCTGAAATTACCATTTTTTGGTTCAGCGTGGTTTGATAGTGCAGGTCACGTAATTTGTTTGCAAATGGACACATTCAACACTAAACAGCTAGGCCATATATTCTTTGCCGGATATCTTAGATTCAACATGTTCGAACATGCATTACAATGCGGGTCTCTTCGCAGATTTATCCTATCAAAATTCCATTGTTCCTTGCAGGTTTGGATGGGCTCAAAGATATTTTTCCCGGAGTAGGTTTGATACTTCGTTTGACCCATGGGTTGTGGAGCCAGCACGGACATTGAGAAACAAGTTGAAGCCATTTCCAGGACGGGAGTGAAATGGAACTACGGCGGTGTCAGAATCAGAATGATCCCCCTAAAATGGGGTGGTTTGAAAATATGGTACTCAATCCACTGGCTGATCATCATTTTTTCTATTAAAATGACAATCTTGGGGGCATCACCCATTTTCAAACAAACAGTTGCAACTAAGCTAGGAATACAATCTAATTACAGGAATATGTTCTGCACCAGATATAAGTGGGTATGATTCCATCCCCCAATCATATTAAGCCCTGACCGACTGAACAGGTCTGGTAGGTTCTGTTTTCTATGTTTCCTTGAAAAATAGGATGATGATCCACAATGGCCAATGACTAGTTTTGAAAGTTGCTACTGCAAGATTT